CCTCTCTTGCTGTGTCTCTCTCTTTCAAATAAATAAATAAAATCTTTAAAAAAATTTTTAAATTAAAAAAAAGCTGGGATGAACATTTTTGTGGAATAATCTTTGCACAAACTTGTGATTATTCCTTAAGATTAATTTTTAGAAGTTGTTTTTGTAAGTCAAAGATTATTCATATTGGGGTGCCTGGCTGGCTCAGTCGGTATAGCATGAGACTCTTGATCTCAGGGTTGTGGGTGCAAGCCCCAGTTTGGGTGTAGAGATTACTTGAAAAGAAAATCTTTTCTAAAAAAGGGAAATTCACATTTTTTATAGCTTTTGATATAGCCAGTCACTTTCCAGAAATGGCTATACCAGTTTACATTCTTTCAGGAATGTAGTTCATTTTTTTAAAGATTTATTTATTTATTTGAGAGAGAGGTAGTAGCCCCAACACGGGGCTCACTCTCACAATTCTGAGATCACAACCTGATCCAAAACCAAGAATCAGACGCTCAACTAACTGCACCACCCATGCACCCCCGAATGTCGTTCATTTTCAATTATTCTTTTAATTTTACTAATCTTAATAAAATAGTAGATAAGTGTTTCTTTAGTTGGGTGTCTTATAAACACAAAGAATGCGGTCACCCAGCTGTTCAGAACATGGCCATCTAACCCTGCACCCATGTAGTGCCTAATTAAGACCAAGGACAAAATAAAACAAGCTTTTGAGCTGCCGAGAATAGTTGTCACAAAAGCCATAAATTAATGCGAACACCAAAGTCACAGCGGACTTTGTTCAAGCTCCTGCACAGAAATGGTTTTTACTTATTTTAATTGCTTTAATTTCCATAGCTGACTGAAAGAGGTTACAGTGTCTTTTATAGTTTTGTCTAGTGATGATTGTGAGATGGTAGTGGCCAAGAAAAGGGAGAAATCAAAGATGACTTCATTTCTAGACATGGCTTCTTACATAAAAATAATAGACTAGAAGTCAACTTCAGGCATTATATTTTCTCCATCTTATGATTGACAGTAAGTCACTACTGCTAAAGTCATAGATTCAGACACATTGCAACTAAACCAACTACTTGGCAAATTTATGTGCAGTTTATTCTTTGTTATAATTTTTTATCGTTTGAAAATCTGAGTTTATCTAGAAATCAACATTACATATCTGCTGGATTTTTTTTTTTTTTAAGAGAAAGTGGGGAGGGGAGGGACAGAGGGAGAAGGAGAGAATCCTAAGCAGTTTCCACGCTCAGCATAGAGCCTGATTCGGGGTTTGATTTCATGGCCCTGAGACCATGACCTGAGCCAAAACCAAGAGTTGGACACTTAACTGACTGAGCCACCCAGTTGCCTGTCTGCTGGGCATTTTATTTAACTTTATTTACTATATGTTTTTACTTCTTAAGTTTTATTATTATGCAAATAGTACCTGATTCTTAGAAAAATTAAAACTTACAACTAAGTCAAAGAGAAGAGAATAAAAACCTTCAATAATTCTACCCTCTAGAGATAAGTGCTATTACTCTTGGCTATTTTTCTGTCTCTGTGTGTTTTAAACAAAATAGGATCATTGTTGTACCTACCGTTTTATTATCTACTTTAAAAACATAATGAGGGCACCTGAGTGGCTCAGTTGGTTAAACATCTGCCTTTGGCTCGGGTCATGATCCCAGGGTCCTGTGATCAAGCCTCACATCAGGCTCCCTGCTCAGCGGGAAGTCTGCTTCTCCCTCTACACTTCCCTCCTGCTCATGCTTTCTCTCTCTCTCTCAAATAAATAAATAAAATCTTAAAAATATATGTAAAAATAAAAACATAATGTATGATAAATGTCTTTTCACTAAAGAGACTTCTAGCCATCATTGTAATGCCTGGGGTTCTCTATCCTCATAGTAACCCAGGCTAGAAACCTTGAGATCATCTTGGATTAGTTGGTCCATTTCCCTCATCCACTACACCCAGTTGGGTATCAAGTCCCCGCACGTCTAACCCATGGGATATTATCAATCCATCTGTCCCTCTCTGATCCCACTATATTTGTCCTGTCTCAGCCATCTTCATTTCTAACCCAGACTTGCAATCATTTCCTACCTAATTACCAGTCATTCATACCTATAATTTTTCTGAACTTCGATTATTTTACTTCTGCTTGATTCTTGCTATTCAAACTCATGATGATTTTTAGAGTCCTCTGCTAACCTTTCGTTTAACCTTACTGCCTGCTTATCTTTCTTTCCTTCTATATTCTTTCTTTCCTCTTTCCTTCTTTCTTGTTTTTCTCTTTCATTCTTTTTCTGCCCCCTGACATATTTGTACTTTTTTATTCTAGTAATATTGTTTATTCTTATCCATATATGCCATGCATTTTAATTGCTCTTCCCTCAGCTTAGAATGCCTGTCTCCACCTTTTGAAATTACATTTAACCATCAACCCTAGATCAAATGCCATCTTCTTTTGAAGTCTTCCTCAATTTGAATTAGTAGCTACCTTTTCTATCCTTCCACTGCATTTTCTATATACTTTTTATTCTGCCTTAGGTTATAACATGCCTGTCTTCCTCCTTTATGTATTTCTCTTTTTTATATATTTTTAAAAGTTACATTTTATTTAAAGAGTCATAAAGAACTTCATTAGCTCTTCACATTGATAATCACTACTGAATAATCTTTAAGAAATATCGAGACATTATACTTTCTCTTGTTTCAAAGAAAATATCAAGGGGTGCCTGGGTGGCTCAGTCAGTTAGGTGTCTGCCTTTAGCTCGGGTCACGATCCCACGTCCCTGGATCGATCCCTGCATCGGGCTCCCTCCTTGGCAGGGAGTCTGCTTCTCCCTCTGCCCCTCACCCCACTCGTGCTCGCTTGCTCGCTCTCTCTCTCAAATAAATAAATAAAATCTTTTTTAAAAAATTAAAAATAAAGAAAAATACCAAGTACAGTTACAGCCAAATCATAAATGTTTATTTCTAATGGAATTTTCAGTGGTATAATTTTAAGGATCTCTTTCCTATGATTTTGCCCATTTTAGGCTGGATCAGTTCATGTAAGAATTCGACGAGATGCAAACGAACAAATGGTTCTTGCTCATGTGACCAACAGGCTGTACACTCTAGTGTCTACCTTGACTGTTCAGATTTTCAAGGATGATTGGATTAGACCTGCCTTACTGTCTGGGCCTGTTGCAGCCAATGTCCTAAACTTTTCAGATCATCACATAATTCCAATGCCTCCTTTAAAGGGTACTGATGATTCAAACCCTGTCACATCGACTCCAGCTAAACCTAGTAGTCCACCTCCAGAATTTTCATTTAACACCCCTGGGAAAAATGTGAACCCAGTTATTCTGCTAAACACCCAAACAAGACCTTATGGTTTGGGTCTTAATCATGGACACACACCTTATAGTAGCATGCTTAATCAAGGACTTGGAGTTCCAGGAATTGGAGCAACCCAAGGATTCAGGACTGGTTTTACAAATATGCCAAGTAGATATGGAACTAACAATAGAATTGGACAACCAAGACCATGATGTACTGTAAATTAATTTATTTTTATGAGGAATACTGACTTACTGACTTCCAATTTATTTAGTAATCCAACTGTGCATTGACTGTTCAATCATTTACTCTAAATGTTAGAGAATAGTGGGTTTGTTCACATTACATGAAACTGATGAAGCTATATTTTTGTAAAATGTATTTGGGGCTGTTGAGAACCTTCTAAATGTCATAAGGTTTAAATAGGCTTCCTATAGAAAGCGTGTTTCTCTAAATTTGAATTTTGCTATTTTTGATTTTATAGTTGACTGCAGTGTGATAGACATCATCTTTACAATAAGAGAACCACTCGATGGAGCAGATCTGTCACATTATTAAAAGTATAGTATTTTCTTCAGTGAAATGTATAAACATATGCTTCTTGAATAATGGTATACATTTTAGGAAAGGAAAAAAATGTCCATTTCAAAAGTAAAAGTCTCTTTTATAGCTTTTCCAAACTTAATTGCTACATTTTTCTTTGAGGTCCTCTTGATTTATGTCTTGCAAAAGGAAAGCAGAATTTTTTGTCAGACATTTTAGAACATATTCTGTCTAGCATAATTTGAAATTTTTAATTATTCATTTTTTATAGTTTTTCTCATTAAAAAATTTCAGTACATTTATAAAGAGTCTGTGATCCTCAAAGTGTTTTATTTTACTTAAAGGAATACCAAATCCTTTGGTAACATGAAATGAAGGAATTCCAGTTTTCTTTCTTACATTTAATCAAATACTGACATAATAAAACAAACAAAAAACACCAAGAACCCAAATACTGACATAATGATGGAACTTATCTTTTTCGTCACCTTTTCATTAGTTGACTTTTTAATCTCTCATTTTATTAACAAAATATATCAAATATATTACAAAATATAAAATATATGGAATTCCATGTGCAATATGGGATTTGATATCTTTTCAAAGTTGTGTAAACAATTTGAGTTTATATTATATAATTTTACCAAAACATGATAGACCCTAGATTATAAAATACAGTATTGTTAGATGTGTAACAGGCAATTTCTAACTTATTTTGTTTTGCTTTGTCGAAATCATAAATTGTTAACTGTGATGAAGTGTGAGAATCATGGATTATTTTATTTTTTGATTATTTTCCAAATGCAAATGTTAAGGACTTGCCAACATAGCCAGTATTACATATAAAAAGTATCACAAGCAGCAAATGACAAAAATTACCTGAGGTGTTTTTTTTGTTTTTTGTTTTTATCAAGACTTTTATAATTAGAATTTTAAAAAGGTATTTTGAAAGTGGATTCAACCTTTCTGGAATCTAGTACTCCTGGAGATTTAGGAGTTTTCCAACCATCAGCCAGCTATGTAGAAAAGATTTTTGTTTTTGAAGAATTTGCAAGTTTCTTCAGTCAACTCATCCTTTTTAAAATATGAGCAACACTTCCAAATCAGATGTCACAATGGAATCACAAACATCCAAGAAGCCATCTCTGTCAAGCAGAACTATCGTCGGCCTGTAATAAGTGACCATGTCCCAGCTTTTGCATGGTGAGGAGTTGGTCATTGTCTTTAACATCTGCAACCCTGTTCAGGCATTTGACCTGCTGAAGAAATAGAGCGCACACTACCTTGACTGCTGGGGAAAATGAAACTTCATAAAATGTACTAAGGCAACCAATTCCTTGTCCTTTGTCTTACGTCCTCCAACTATTAGTATACCTATTATTGGTCTACTATTACAGGGTGATTTTTCCTCTGTTGACCCCATCCAAGTGGGTCGACTGCCCATGAAATCTGAAGAACTGCCATGTACTGAGTGATGTTTAAGAGGTCTGCGCTGCCACCCTTTGCATGTCTTTTCCATTCTCATGAGATTTTTAAAGTGTGCAGGTACTGAACACAATTCTGCATGATGTTAAATACCTATTTCGTCAACACCTCTTCAGAGGCAACACTTGTGTAGTTGTCCCAACAAAGGTGCTTTGATACCCACCTACACTATTTAAGAAATTTCCTGTGGGTTCTAAAGGAATTGGCTCTACTTGCTGAAATTCACCGATGCCAACTGCTGCAGGTGACATTGGTCCATGCATTATCATATAACGATGTCTTATTTGCCGAGCTCTGGCCAGCATCTGGATATAAAAACAAGAAACTTGGCCAACATAGGCCTAGAGGCAGTATTCTTACTAGTAAATCTTGCCAGTGTCACGTCAAGCTAAACAAAGAAAGAAGTTTGAATTGACTTCTTGGCCTATGGCTTGTGGTTAAGAGCAAGTTCCATGGAGTGTAATTAACCCTGTCTGAGAAAATACCATACTGTAACATACTGTAACAGAAAAAACGCTGGGCTAGAAGTCGAGAGATTTGGATTATGAGCCTGATGCTGCCACTATGTAAGTAGTTTGGTTACCATGGGCAAGTCATTTAACTTCTCTAAGCTTTATCATCTCTAAAGTTAGGGTGGGGAATGAATTAGTTGATCTGTAAACTATCAGCTCTAAAATTTTATGACAAAATCTACAGATTATACCCACTTGCTAAACAGTATTGTGCCCAGAATGTCCTTCCAGTGACTACCTCAGCATACAGGCCAAGTGTTACCTATACCAACACCCAAGCCATTAATTTGAGGTGCCATGAGAATAGAAGGTGAACTGCAGGCTAACACCATTTAGGTTCTTGTTTATTTCAGACTTGCCTTGACTTAAATCTGTTAAGATCAAACAGATTTTTCTTAGACTTCTTTCTTTGTGGGGAAGGATTATTTTGGGGGGTGCTGGAGAAAAGTTTAGGACAGGGTACCCTTAGATTCGTAGGGTACAAAAGAATGGGCTACATTTTTCTTTTTTCCTTAATCTCTGAAGATACAGTTAGAATTACATACATGTATCAGCAAATGGAGAGGTCCTGAATTTCAAGCCTCTGATTTAGCTGCTCGTAAACTGCCAATTTTTTGCTTGACAAAAGTATGCTGATCTTTTGGGAGTCTATCTGCTTCTTATATAAGGAAATGCTTTTTACATTCCAAATTGTTTGAACCACACTGTTTGAATAAAGAACATACATGGAGTTTTCTCTCTGATCTTAAATAATTTTGGCTTGTTTCCTTATTCAATAGCTATTTATTGGTCATTTCATTTAATTCAGCACATACTTGTTGAGCATCCAGTACATGCCAGGCACTGTACTAAGTAAATGTGCACACAGTGTATCAATTTTTGTGAACTGTTCTTGAGACCAAAGGGAACAGAAGGATAAACAAAGGATCCCTTCAGGTACCAGGTAGTCATCCTTAGGACAAGACACAGAACTACTGCACATGTTACCAGATGAAACTCCCTCTCACTTCCTCCTCTTCTTTGGTCTCATTTTTTTTCTGAATGATGAAACTAAGGAAGTAAATTTCCATGGAAGAGACCAGCTAGAGGTCATGGTGTCACACATCATCCAGATATCAGGAAAGGAAGAGAAAGTTTGGAAAGGGCAAGTTAGGCAGACACTGTTGAGAAAGGATCATTTTTAGGTTATATAATGGATTGCCACATACTTTCAGACTCTTGCACTGGATGAGCAAAGATTATTAAGTAGCCACGCTGAAAGTAATGGGGTCCCCAGAGCATTCATGGGCTCAGGGTGGCCTTTATTTAAGTTACTAGTTTAAAATCATCTTTATTTTTTTTTTAAAGATTTTATTTATTTGAGAGAGAATGAGAAATAGAGAGCACAAGAGGGAAGAGGGTCAGAGTGAGAAGCAGACTCCCCGCCGAGCAGGGAGCCCGATGTGGGACTCGATCCCGGGACTCCAGGATCATGACCTGAGCCGAAGGCAGTCGCTCAACCAACTGAGCCACCCAGGCGCCCTTAAAATCATCTTTAATAACACTAATATCATCATCATCAACTGCCACCCAACAAGCCTAGCTTCTTGCGCAAAAGTTAACTTTAATAACACGTGGCTAATTTTCCTGACAAATGCTGCATCAGGCAAAAATCTCGTAGCACTGAAGTAAAAAAAACCTAATTGCTTAAGATTCTGAAATACATTCATGAAGGCAAGCCAACAGTCACTGCTCATACAATTTCCCACCAAATCCAACTGCTGAAAGTTTTTTAGAGGGTTCTTTTAAAAAAAATACACCTGGGTGAAAAAATAGAAGTAAGTATATTAGTTGGAAGTGAAACAGTTTTTTTTAAGAGAAATGGCTATGTTTGGACCAGTGCTTTGCCTCAGAAAGAAATTAGAATTCTCTATAGGTAGGGCAATGATTGTGAATCTGCTCCCTTATTTTTACAAGTTATATTTTTCCTAAAGGGTAAGGCAATCTGACAGATAGTAATTAGTAGCAGTATAGCAAACCCAATACAAATGAATAATGTATTTTTTCACTTTTCCTGATTCTTCCAGGAAATGGAAGATTGCTTTAAAATTGAGGTGTAAGAGATGCTATTAAATATTTGTCACAGTTTTTCAAAACTAGAGTCAGATTTCATCAAGCTTAGGTCATTTCCTCTTCTTTTTTTTTTTTTAAGATTTTATTTATTTGTTTGACAGAGAGAGACACAGCGAGAGAGGGAACACAAGCAGGGGGAGTGGGAGAGGGAGAAGCAGACTCCCCGCTGAGCAGGGAGCCCAATGCGGGGCTCAATCCCAGGACCCTGGGATCATGACCTGGGCCGAAGGCAGACACCCAATGACTGAGCCACCCAGGCGCCCCGGTCATTTCCTCTTCTTGAGAAGCAAACACTATTGTTTCTTAGGTATGGAATGTTCCTAACTGTAAACTTGAGTAAGTGAGACTCTTTCAGTATCTAAGACTTGGGTTTGGGGGGTTGTCTTTTTTTAATGCTCCCTAATGGAACTTCTCCATTCCTTACAGAATAGGGCACTCCTGCAAAGGGAAGGTGGATATCCTAGCCATGAAGTCCAAGACAATAGCCTAAGGAATGGAGGGGTCCAAAAAGTAGGTTTCTGGGTGTGAAAGCTTACACAGAACAACACCCACCTGCTTGGACTACTCATTTGTGGACTGTTACAGAAGAGGGTAATAAAGTTCTGTTTTCTGTATGGTATGGGGAGGGGGGTCTCTTGTTATACCAGCTTAAGCCTGTGCCCAGCCTAACTCATACCTAGGGCCTCACTTTCTCCTCTCTTCCTCCTTCCCATAAGGAGCCCATCTTTATTCCTTGTAAGCAGCTTTCTCCCTGCTCTCTCAGACCTCATATTCACATCCTTTCAGCCTCTGCCTCTTTTCCATGTGCTTCCTAGCATTGCATGCACTCAGCCACTTCTCCTGTCTCTATGTAAGACTCCTTCCTGGGATGCCTGGGTGGCTCAGTCGGTTGGGCGTCTGCCTTCGGCTTGGGTCATGATCTCAGGGTCCTGGGATCAAGTCCCGCATCGGGCTCCCTGCTCAGTGGGGAGCCTGCTTCTCCCTCTCCTCCCTGCTTGTGCTCTCTCTCTCGCTATCTCTTTCTCCCAAATAAACAAATAAAAAATTTAAAAAAAAAAAAAAGACTCCTTCCCTAAACAGCAGCTTTTCTCTTTCTCTATTAGCAGCAGGTTTTACCACCTCAAAGGAATTTAACAAAGAATTTAAAGCTGCAATGTTTTTTTAAGCACTGCATTATTTTATACTCCAACCACCAGGATATGAGGGTTCTAATTTGTCCAAGCCCTTGCTAACACTTATTATTATCTGTCCTTTTTATTATAAACATTCCTAGTGGTTGGGAAGAGGGGTTTCATCATGGCTTTGATTTGCATTTCCCTGATAGCTAATGATTTTGAGCATCCTTTCTGGCTTATTGACAGTTTATATATATTTATATAAGTATATAAATATATATATATTTGCAGGTGATTTTATTTTTATTTTTTAGTTTAAATTCAATTAATTAACATATAATATATTATAAGTTTCAGAGGTAGAGTTCAGTGATTCATCAGTCTTATATAACACCCAGTGCTCATTACATCACATGCCCTCCTTAATGCCCATCAATCCCACCACCTCTCTCCCCTCCAGCAACCCTCCGTTTCCTATGATTAAGAGTCTTATGGTTTATATAGATTCTTTGGAGAAATACACATTCAGATCCTTTGCCTGTTTAAAAAATTGAATTATTTATATCAGTGAGTTGTAAGAGTTCTTTATTCTAGACAGTAGTCTTTTATGAGATACATGACTTGCCATCATGTAAAGTTGTTCTGCCATTCTCTGGGTTCTTTTTTCACTTTCTTGATGATGCCCTTTAAAGCACAACAGTTTGTAATCTTGATGAAGTCCAACTTATTTCTTATTTGTGTTTGCTTGTCATATCTAAGATTTTGCCTAACCTGAAGTCATGAAGATTTACTCCTAGATTTTCTTCAAAAATTTTTATAGTTTCAGCTCTTAATGTTTATATCTTTGATACATTTATTTAAAAAAAATTTTTTTAGAGAGATCATGAACAGGGGGAGGGACAGAGAGAAAGGGAGAGAAGCAGACTCCCCATTGAGCAGGGAGCTCAAAGCAGGGCTCCATCCCAGGACCCTGAGATCATGACCTGAGCCGAAGGCAGATGCCTAACGACTGAGCCATCCAGGTGCCCCAGTTTTCTCCTAATTCTTGAATCAGTTTGGGAAATGATATTTTTCTAAAAACCTGTCTTCTTTGTCTGTTTCAAATTTGTTGGTATCACAGTTGAAGGATTTCCATATCTTTTAAATTTCTGATTAATCTATAATATGACTCCTTTTTTGCCTTTGATTTTTGTAAAAAGATTTATTTGTTTACTTCAGAGAAAGAGAGCAGGTGGGAGAGGGCAGGGAGGAGAGAGTCTCAAGCAGACTCCATGCTGAGCTCAGAGCCTGATGCAGCTCCATCCCTAAGATCCCTAACTTTAAGATCATGACCTGAGCCAAAACCAAAAGTCAGATGATTAACCCAATTGCACGACCCAGGCACCCTTGCCTTTGATGTTTTAAACAAACTTTATTTTTTTAGAACAGTTTTAGATTTATAGGAAAAATTGCAAACATAGTACAAAGAGTTGCCATACACTCCATACTTAGCTTCTCCTATTATTAACATCTTACATTAGCATGGCATATTCATTGCAATTAATAAACCAGTATTAATACCTTATTAAGTCTGTAGTATATTGCGATTTCTTTAGTTTTTACCAGTATCCCTTTTCTGTTCCAGGATCCCATCCAAGATATCACATTACATTTAATCATCATGTCTCCTTACATTCCTCAAAGAACCTCTTGTCTTGTGACAATTTCTCAGATTCTCCTTGTTTTTGATTCCCTTGACAGTGTTGAGGAGTACTGGTCAGGTATTTTGTAGGACTTGTCTGATGTTTTTCTCATGATTAGATTAGGGTTTTGCAGTAGCAAGAGGAAGATCACAGAAGTGTGAAGTATCATTTTCCTTATATGTCCAGGGTACATACTATCAACACGATCTATTGCTGCTAATGTTGACCTTGATCACCTGGCTAAGGTGGTGTTCCATTTATCCTCTGTGAAGCTATTCTTCTCCCCTTTCTGTACTACCACTGAGGAAGTCACTATGTGCAGTCTACACTTAGGTTGTCGGAGTTAGGCTCTACTTTTTTGTGGGCAAAGTTATCTACATAATCCATGCAGCTTTGCATGGGAGATTTATCTCCCCCACCATTTATTCATTTATTCAATAATTTATTTATATCAGTATGGATTCATGGATATTTGTTTTATGCTTTGGGATATAATCCAATGCTACTTTATTTTATTGTTCCAGTTGCTCAGCTTTACTGTGAGCTCTTTTAGTTGGTTTCTGTGTCACTTTGACTTCCTCCTATTACTGTGGGTGTCTTTTATTTATTTCTTTGTTTTGAGCTCTTCCTTACTTTTCTGGCACTATACGATGCTCTAGGCTTATACATTTCCTGCCCTAGTCCTAGAATTAGCCATTTTATCAAAGAGCCCTGGTTCCCTTTATTAGAGAATGGTATTAGAATCCAAGATCTGGGTGTCATGAGTGCGTATTTCTTCCAAGGTGTCATTGCTTCTAGGCCCTCTCAGCTGACAGAGCAAAGAATATGTGTATGTACACGTGTAAGAAAAACTCCATTCATTCTAGCTCCCATTCCTCTCCCGTGTGTCTCCTTTACTGTGCATACAGAACACTGCAGACACTTCTGGTCATCAAGTGTGTGGAGGCTATTGCCCACACCGCGCAATTCTGTGCAACACCAGGTGTGTGTCCTACAAGTTAACTCAATTCTAACACTGCCTACCTGGAAATCTTGTCTGATCCCACAGGCTAAGGGCTCAGGTCCGCAAGACTGCTTCCATCCCACTTCAGGTGCCAATCACAAGTGGTAGGTCCCCGGGTTATCCACAACTTCTGTCTGATTAAGCTACAAATTGGAGGTTCCCATGTGTCCCTCCTCAGGTTTGATTAATTTGCTAGAGCAGCTACAGAACTCCAGGAAACACATTTGAAGAATACAGATGAACAGCCAGATGAAGAGTTACCTAGGGCAAGGTCTGGGAGGATCCCAAGCACAGGAGCTTCTGTCCCCATGGAGTTTGGAGTGTGCCACCCCCCTGGCATGGATTTGTCTGCCAACCTGGAATCTCCCTTAACCCTGTGCTGTTGGGGTTTTGTGGAGGCTTCCTCACATAGGCATGATCAATTGTTAACTCAGTTTCTAGACCCTCTCTATTCTTTGGAGGATGAGGGGTGGGAATGAAATTTTTTTTGTAATCGCTACACCCAATGTGGGCCTCAAACTCATGACCCTGAGATCAAGAGTTGCATGCTCTTCCGACTGAGCCAGGCTGGTGCCCCCTAAATGATTGTTTACTTTACATGCACTAAAGTTCACTCTTTGCACTATAAAGTTCTGTGGGGTTCAACAAATGAATAGTGCCATGTCTGTACAGTTACAGTATCATGCAGAATATTTGAACTTTCCTAAAAAAATACCCTATGCTGTACCTGTCAACACTTCCTCCCCCCTTCCTGAGCTCCTGAACTTTTTTCTAAATTGAAGTATAGCTGACATATTACATTGGTTTGAGGTGTACAACATAGTGACTTGACAACTATATACATTATGCAGTGCTCATCGTGATGAGAGTAGTTACTGTTTGTCACC